CTAGTTGCAGCAGAGGCAGTTTCGCATTATAGATATCAGGCTACGTCCACTCGAATCCGGATACTTTTGAAAAAGTAAAACCTTTTTTATACGAATCGGTCTTCTGTCCCGGGGTGAAGGGTACTCAACAAGATTTATACAGGGAGGCTCCGCCCTGAGGGTTCAACCCCTTACCCCTTCACATACCATTCTTTTTTTTTTCGAAAGAGATGCCTCTTTCGTATATCTTCCATTGACAAATGGTACCCCTTTCACATACCTAGTTCAGAACTTTGCATCCCTTTTAACTGCTGTAAATGCACTATCATAAATCAGTAAAATCCAGCTAGTGGTCTATTACCAATGCTGCGTTCTGATTGGTTGAGATACTACTAGGCTATATGTTATAGCCTACTAGTAGCGAAAAGAGTCGGCTTTTTGGCCGCAAAAAAGGGATTTAAGTCTTGCTTTAAGTTGTTTTGTCTCGATATTTTTGACCAACTAGCCGGATTTTACTAAAACAATTATTCCTCTCGTCCTTATGGCCTCTTAGTCAATAGCCCACGAGGCCGAAGGCCGAATGGGCTATTGACTCAGAGCCCATTTGGGCTCGAGGAATAATTGTTAAATAGAACGTTTTCTCGACTTTATAAAGCCATACAATTCATCTGTTAGCCCTTTTGGGCCCTTTCACAGACCCAAAATTTCCCTTCCCTTTTATATACTTCAACTAGTGAAATCCCTAGCCTATCATATGCCTGAAGCCTGAAAAAGATACCCCTTTCGGGGGGAACCTCGCCGTATAGGCCATCATAGGGAGTATCCCCCGGACCTTCTATCCAGAAACCTGTGAATCCGGTCACCGAAACCGCATTGTTTTGAAACCGCTCTCAGAGCAGTTTAAGACCCCGTCCACATGAATCTGGATAAAAAATGTGCGGAATCGTGTGGACATGGCCTCAATCAAGAGACTGAGTGACTCATTCTATAGAGGAAGTTAATACCAACATTTCGCGTTCTTAGAACAAACTGCAAAACGTCGGTACACTTTAAGGAAAAGGTATTAGGCTGACTGCAACTTTATACAACTCGAATCAGCTTTGTTTTCTTGAATAAAGAATGACTATTTTGAGCAAATCGGTCAAGGTTAACCGTGGCCCCTAAATTTTCCCTCCCCTTAATTGCAAAACATTTCACAACCACGCCTGTTCCCTGTCGAAAGTCCGGCTTATATTTGGGGTCATCCTTAATAGATAGTTATCACAGAAAAAGACAGACCGCCCAATATTATTCATAAGATACAGATTAACTTTAATTTTACCAGCGACTTCCTGAGGCAAAATTTCAAGTTGATACTCTATATTGTTGTTAAATCGACGAACCTTCCAGTACAAACTACTTTACTCAACTCTTTGTTACAAAATACTTAGATTTTAAAACAGTTGATTCATAAACTCTCTGCGAAGACCAACCAGGATCATCAACTCATTTGTTCTATCACCTCTTATGATCTAACCCATTTCGGATTTAATTTGAATTGTATTGGTTCCTAATTTCCTTAAAACTCCGAAAATAAGCTCCTACATGTATGAGCCCCTCCAAATATATGCCCACCCAAACTCGTAACGCAAAAAACCCTCCGATAAATCGCTGGTCCCTTCAAATACAAACCCCCGGAGGTTTGTACTCGGAAATTGCCCTCAAATTCACAATAAAACAAAGCAAAAACTAAATTTTTGCATCTGCCAAAGAACTATTACGTGTGCCAAATCATTGCAGTCAAAACGTGTAACAGTATATTGCTGCTTGCGTAATGACAGTCTTCAGTCCTCGGTCCATATCGACAAACTACTTGCATGGTCTACATCCACAAGGCGAGTTTCAGTAAAAACCTGCTGCAAATTATTACTAACATAAATTTCCCTACGAATAAGCTATCCCAATGAATTTTGAGAAGCATATTTCCCTCCCAGTATAAACCTATCCGATTATGGGATATATAAGCCCCTCAAAAAGGACCATTGGAACATATAAGCCCCAGGACTTATTTTCGGAATTTTACGGTATTTCCATCAACGAATTCGTCTTTCCTTAGAAAATGTGCTTTTTGAAAAATAGTTGTGAAGGAGTCAGAAAACAAATCCTTCTAAACATTTACTGATATATAAAGCTAAAACAACCACTAAATCTGAAACAAAAAGAATACTCAGTAACAAAGACTTCTTTAAAAGAAAATGGACACTGACCCCCTTTACCGTATATAAAATTGCCTTCTGTGTTAATTTCTATTATTAGCAATTTTGTACCTATTTAAAATTGTCTCAGACTTGTAGAATTCTAGAAGCCGGCCTCAAGTGTTTTTACAAGGCTATTAAAACACGGCCAACAATTTTTATGGCTTCTATAAAACAACAATAGTCGACTGAGTCAATAAATAAGCAAAACGTTTCGTTGCGAGCTCTGAATAAGAGAGAAATTCTTACTGTTGTGTTGGGTTGTGTACGAAGTTCTGATGTATATATTTTCAGTTTCACGCATCAAATTTATAGGCAAAAAAACAAATGTAAGCTCAAAATCCTTTTTTCAAAATCCTTGTTGCGTGATTAGCGTGCGCACTGAAAAGATCGTGTGAGCACAAAAACGTTACTCACAGGACGATCGTTTAATCCCACGTTAAGACAGAAAATTCTTGACGCGCTTTAAGAACTTTCGCTACAATAATGATGCTCACGACGATAAGGATGTAAACAAAGTTTATTGAAGCGAAGCGATGAGACGTCAACAATGCTGAAAAGAAGCGATGCGAAGAGAAGCGATGATCAGGCGGTGTAAACGAAGAAAACGATATACAAAGCGGTTTCGAAAACTAAGAAATAAATACAGCGAAAACTATAGTTAGATTAACTAGAAACTACCTTAAAACTACGAAAACAAACTTTGGATATACGATGCAAAAAGGCTATATAAAACGTAACATATCATGCACAAAGTGAAAAGACATTACTTCTGTGTCCGCTTTAGGGATTTCACAGCGTTGACGTTGAGCCTTACTTTGATCTTAACACTATGACACGTTGACTAGAACTGAAAAAAGTTTCTTGAGCACGTTCGGCAATACTAATTAATACAAAGGATAATAGACTTCTTTGTTTGTAAATCATACGTAAGCAGGTACATCCGCGGCGAAAACCACAAATACTATAAGATAATAACGCAAACGAAACTAAAAAGGGTTCGAAAGGAAATACGAAAAACCAGAAAATATTTGGCAGTAACAGATCGTGTCGTCACAACTGTGATTACATGCTCTCATGCAAACACTAGGCCAATCAGAGTGCGCCTACTAAACTGGTCATTTTAAAATCATTACATTATTAGACAATCTTTTTTCTTCGTGGGTGGGTCGGTCGTTACTGAGCCTTTTGCATCAAAAGGCGTAGAATGAGTACTATTAAAAGCACTTGATTGGCTAAAACGTTGTTCATCAGATCCACCTTGGCGTGTAGGTGTGACGCCATGAATTGAACTAACCCTTGTGTGGTTTAAATTTCGGACAGTATTGCTCCTGGCAATAGTTGTTGTACTCAAAGGATTTGAGCTACTTGGCGAGCTACTAGCCGATGTGGTGGAGCTATGGCCACCGCGGGTGACAAGCCCTCTATGCCGATTGGATGTTGTAGCGACACGAGTTGTTTTTTGTGGCATAGGTACAGCTGAACCGGCGGCGGTTACGCGGAATGAACTGCTTCTTGTACCAGATCCATTTGGAATAGATGCTGAAACAGCGCTAGTCAGTATTGAAGGGTACGTCGAAGTGCTCCTTAATGGTTGCGATCTCGGGGGAGCTGGTAGCGAAGGTGCTGTAACTGAGTGTTGGGAAGTAAGATAAGCAGTTCGAATGCCTTGCTGCGGTTGGAGGTTTGATGAGGGCGCTGCATAGGGTTGTGGTAGGGCATAGGCACTAGCAGTAACCGTCCGTGCTTGGCGCTTCGTTGAATATTGAATGACGTACTCGGGATAGAACTGATCGGTGTCAAACACAACAAAGATTGTTGGATTAGCTATGCTGTCAACGCACGAGTCGTACAAATCACTTACAGGATCCAGAGGGTTCTTTAACGGTAGCCTTCGATAACTGGAACGGCCAATAGTATAGGAACCCATCAAACCTTGCCCAGAAACATGAACTGACGTAAACGAGAATCTATTCTAGCGAAGGCGTCGCTATACGAGGCATTCGCTGCGAAGTAGCTTCCCTGGCCGTACTTAGTGGCATTTTTTCCGTTCAAACGGCAGTCAAATTTTTCACATCTAGAAAGGCTAGAAAGGCCTGCAAGGCGGATTTTTTGGCCGCAAGAGAATTTATTTTGACTCCTTTATTTTACAGTTGTAATTGGTTACTCATTTTCTTTGGAGCCGAACCCCAAAGTGGAACCGACCTCTTGTCAGTGAAAAATTAAACAGAATAAAAAAAATCAGTTTTCCTAGTCAAAGCAAAATAGCTGGGACTTGAACGGGTGACATTTCTACGATATGATCAGTCATAAATAAGCATTCTCTATATAATCGCACCAGCACAGTCTTTTAAAGTACATTTACCCCTTCACTCCTATACTTTTCAGTTAATTTAGTTTCGTACCTTAACCTCATAACAATATACATTACTGCTTTTCAAGATAATATGTAACAGTGAGTCCCTTTTGGATAATCTTCTCAGAGAAAAATTTATTAGTTGATTCTTCTAATTTAGAACGTTCATAGTGTATGAGCTTATTATAATTAACTGCCCAAACATTTCCCTAGTCTACAACCTTGCGTTCAAGCATTAGTTTGGGGTGATACGATTTAACATTTGTGATAGTTTTTAAAACTTTCTTCTTCTTTCAACGCTGCTGCAACAAAATCAACAAAAACAATGGAAGAAATTACATAACTAAACATTTCTTATTTTTTGAAGAACCCTTGTGCTTTTTGGGCTTATAGGCTTGACTGGATGACCGAGATAAGGAAGGTGAAACCGAATGATTGCTTGACCCGCCAGAGTACGCATATGAAGTAGAAGTAGCAGCCGTGGGAGGAGACTGATTTTGGATTGATGCGCTGGTATATGGGCTCACTCCTGCTACGGGTGAATGATAATAATTTGCAGATGTTGCGCTGGATATGGAAGTGTATCCGCCTGTACCAGGTGCTTGAACACGCGAACGCACACTCGAGGTTGTGCTCGTCTGGTAACTGGTGGATGGGCTAATGGATGGGCTGCTAACTTTGTAATGCGCTTTAGTTGCCACTACCTTTGCTGCTGGTGAGCGTCTAGGCGTTGGAGCTGGTGCTCTTGCCACAGGTCTTGTAGGTCTCGCGGGTCCCGCAGGCTGCTGATGACCGCCTCGAGCAGTAGTGTACTCGATTATGTACTCCGGATAGAACTGATCAGTATCAAAAACGACGAAAATGTTTGGAGATGACTGGTCATCAACACAGGAATCGTACAGATCACTTGCGGGGTTCGAGGGCTCCTTTGACGGTGGCCTTCGATAACTGGATTGGCCCTTAGTGTAAGACCCAACGAGGACCTTGGCCACGAACATGAACTTAGACCCTTTGGAATCTTCCTTGGCGTAACTATCGCTGTACGAGGAGTTTAATGCAAAATAGCTTCCTTCTCCGTAAACAGTTGCGTTCTTCCCATGAAGACGCCAGTCAAAGTTCTGTTTACAGATAGCTTCTACGATTTCAGGGTTAGTTCCATGAAACAATTGCCTCTCGTTAACAAACCGTCCCTTGGTAGAGCCAATCCTCGCTGCTGCCATGTTTTCCTTTTTCCTGAATAAAATACAGTAATCAAAGTCAACTTTTGTTTTTGGCCTTGAAATTCTGTCATTCGCTTTAATATTGATTCATGTTGAGCCAGAGGCTCATGTTAAAAACGTTCGACAAACTAAAAATACAAAACAAGATAAAATGTGAATTATGCATATACAAATATAAAACAACCCAGCTTTTAAGTACATCGTAATTTTGGGAAAATTTTTTAAGAAGCTGTTTAAAAAAAAGAGGTTAGTTAAATACCATTAATAATCTATTAAGCCCGCGCCTTTTAAATAATCCCCCACTACCCCATCTCCTTTAAAATAACGATGTATCGATTGACAAACACTATTTATCACTAAGAACTAGCCCATACTAGAAAAACGTGCCTCACGCACCCTCGCGGAATTCGGTGGGGCACTCAATTAAAGCCCTCGTGATCCTTATGTTTTGATATTGTCTTCGCTGTGTTTTAGGGACAATTAGAGTTTCTTCACACCTTTAGGGTTGTAATAAGCCACGAAAACGTTTATTGGTGACGTAGCATTTAATGCCTTACGTTTAATGCATTTGTTCAGTAGTACCTTTGGTACTTTTCCCACATGAAAGGGTTTTGCACTCGTTCAATTCCAACAATTACCACACTCCGATTGATGGACTTTTTGAAGAATTCTTCCACTTCTTTAAATTCTTCAGAAAGTCTTGATATCGACACACGTTGATATTGCCTCTTGCATAGCATGGAAGACCAATGATTTGGCGTATTAGTGACTCCTGTATTTCTCCTTTGCTCGACACTCACTGCGTTCTGAGACCTAATGAAAAAGATGGTAATGCAGTGGGGACAGTGTAAAACGCAGACTGAGGACTATTTTTTTCACCAGGCTAATGTGAACATGAGAACAATAGTCCCATTGTTTTCTAGCCCTAAAAACAATAGTCCGCAGCCAGTCCGCAGTCTACACTTTTACACTGCTCCAATGCAGTGGCACATTAATTGTTTTGAATTTTTTTCTCCTAAGGATGTTTCAACGCATAATTCAGTGAATTTATAGTAAGTAAATGAGCAACTGATTGTTCTCTGTGAAAGAATTAATTACCCGATGTTTCACTTAAATGCTTACATCATAAGTTTTCCACTGTAGATCCAACAGATTAGCCCAAGGGGGCGGTCTGTGGGCTCCGAACAGGTATCCACCATTTACCTTAACAGTAAAAGCACTTTGAGGTAATTTTCACGAAACACACTTTAGGTATCAATGACCAGTTTCCAACAGATTAGACATCACATCATGGCCCATCATGTGACATCTTTTTGTGACTGATTGTAATGCAAATGAATGACCATACTTGCAGTCAAATTACACATAAATCATTGTCTTCTCTTGTCTTGTCTCAGGTACCTAGTTTTTATCTTAAAACACGAGGAGCCGCAAGGAGTAAAATTTCTGTCCCGTAATTTACTCAGTTAAATCATCAAAGTTGACAGGTCTTTCTGATGATCAAAGCGACCGTTCGGTTTACCATTTACACCTTCAGTGCGAAGACTGTCACGGGAACATTAACACCTTCAGGATAATTGCTTGCCATAACAGTGGTAGGTCGCGCGCGTCTGGTCGGTTTCGAAGAACGTGATCGTGACTGTTGTTTTCATTCAGTGACTGTACGCGTTGATATGCCAACGTTTAAAACAGACTGCAACATTAAATTTTTGTTATAAAAGCAAAGAAGCTGCCGAGTAGAAACTAAACCGTTCCAGACTTATTCCGTTTCATTCGTGTACTTTCATTTTGATGGGGTCTGTATGATGAATTTACTTCTGCCTTCTAATCCGGCACGTAAACAACGTAGAGATAAAACATTCATTTTGCCTTTGTGGAGTAAATTCATCTTAAAAAAGTTAAACTAGTGGACCACTTTCTCCGCGTACTTGTAAAAATAGGCATTTAATATGTCGCGCTACAGTGCGAAAATCTTCTTGTCGTGGATTAGATTTCAGTATACCTATTGTTAATCTTCATTTCGCGCCAGAATAAATTAGTTTGCGCGCAAAGGGCGTCTAAAAAAATTCACAAGGTTTGTCTCACTTCGAGTCCACCTTCTGGAGATACGCCGGCATGGTAGCTGGAATACATTGCCAAGGCGAAGATCTGGCATTTTTTCCTCCTCGTCTTTTTTTCCCCGCAACGTTTGTTTGTATTTGTAGTGAGAATGCCGTGCATATCGGTGGATTTTACTTCAGTCAAGCGGCTTCAGTTCCTGCGGCTTGCTACTCATCATAAAGAAGAGTGCCGGAATCGCTTTGTTCGCCTTTAACAGATTTGTTGTCGAATGCAAGGTAAAAGAACGGACTACTGTAAGGTAAGAATTGAAGTTTAAATTTGTTTCTCGGAGAAAAATAGTGCGTACAACTCGTGAAACCCGTGAGTATTACCTCTGTTTAATATACCGGATGTCATGCGATGACCCCTCGCTTTTACGATGGATAAGACGGATACGAACAATAATTTCTTTCGCAACGTTTAGTATAATTTATTTAATATGGAGATCATCTGAGAACGATTTTTCGTTATATATGCTTCATTTCTTGGCTTATTCCGGCTACGTGCGAAAAATTAGATGACAATGTTTGTGTGCTATAATTATACTGATAATTTCTTGCACCTTGAAACTCATGAAAGCCAAACTTGTTTAACCCTAGCAAAAAACTCTTTTAATGGAGGAACTCAACCTGATAGTTGCACTAAAATCTAATAATTGTCACTGCATTTGCAGGCTCTCTGTAACCTCGTGGGTAGAACATACCTGAAGGTTACGTTAATAATAATCACTGCATTTGCTCTCTGTAACCTCGTGGGTAGAACATGCCTGAAGGTTACGATAATAATAATCTTTGCATTTTCTCTTTGTAACCTCGTGGGTAGAATATATCTGACGGTTACATTTAATAATAATCACTGCATTTGCTCTCTGTAACCTCGTGGGTAGAACATACCTGAAGGTTACGTAAATAATAATCATTGCACTTTCTCTTTGTAACCTCGTGGGTAGAATATACCTGATGGTTACATTAATAATATCACTGCATTTTCTCTCCGTAACCTCGTGGGTAGAATATACCTGACGGTTACATTTAATAATAATCACTGCATTTTCTCTCTGTAACCTCGTGGGTAGAACATACCTGAAGGTTACGTTAATAATAATCATTGCATTTTCTCTTTGTAACCTCGTGGGTAGAATATACCTGACGGTTACATTTAATAATAATCACTACATTTGCTCTCTGTAACCTCGTGGGTACAACATACCTGAAGGTTACGTTAATAATAATCATTGCATTTCTCTTTGTAACCTCGTGGGTAGAATATACCCGATGGCTACATTAATAATAATCACTGCATTTGCTGTCCGTAAACTCGTGGGTAGAGTATACCTGATGGTTACATTAATAATAATCATTGCATTTTCTCTTTGTAACCTCGTGGGAAAAAAAATTAATGCCTCTCTCCTGGAAATTTTGCCCTGTCCTTTCAGCATAGTGATCTTTGGGTAGCGAATTCACGTAAACAAGTAAAACGCTTTTTTTAACAACAGCATTTATATTACTTGGCTTTTTGAGGGAGGTTAAACATTTATGGAATAGAATATAAAAAAAGCTCATAAAGCCGAAAAAGTTATCTTTACAAAATGCGCTTTGACAATGTCAAGGAGTGAAATAAGCTGAGGTTTTGTAGTTAGCCCGAAGAAAACCTGTTCCTGCATGAAAAGCAGTTCTGATTCCCTTCTCTTAACTAGAAGAGATGCATATCCCTGTGAACCAGTTTTTTAACCAGGAGCGATTCCCGCTCACTTCTGATACTTTATTGACACGAGTTCCTATTTCAATATATGTCTAATTCAAGCTTAGCCGCGTGATAGCTCTTCATTAGCGAAAAGGTCCAAGTGATATTTTGATTGACGTGTTGTTTTGGATCCTGAGGTTTTCTAACACCTTTTCTCTAGCTTAACTGGCGAAGATATTCTAGGAATTTGCCCTTCAATTCCAAATTCTTTGATGTGCCGCCAGATGCCGTGCAAAAATATCACCCTTTGCGGCTCCTCGTGAGAGCTTTACCAAAACATTTCTTTTGGTCACCTTAATTTCACAGTGAAAACATGATGTAAGATTTTATGCTAATTATTTTCAAATAAAGAAACTGGCCCATCATATCGGTGGCAAGGGATAAAGTTCTTGTCATTAATTAACTCTACAACACAAATACCTTTTAAGCTGAGAAATGTCATCCTTAGACACAAATTTTCCAGGCCTTCTTCTCACTTTTTTCGTCGTGCCGTACTTGACGTTTGTCTGGCTCATGTCACTTGATGGGTTAAAATTTAAAATGTAATCCTGGTCCGCAATCCGAAACTTAAAATCGTTTTTCTTGTTCAAGTAGGCTTTTTCTAGGGATTCTTGAAGATCGTTTCCCTATGAAGAAAAAAAGATTATTTGTCGAGACAAGATACCATACACTACTCTATATAGAATTTTACTGATGCGCCAAATTAAAAAGCGCGCTCCATATATTACTTGGAATGTTTGTTGTGTTGGCCTAATATACCAGTCACATATCCAGAAAGTCCAACTCTTAATCGGCGGGGGGTTCTGCCCGATTACTCTGAGACTTCAGCCATATACAATGTTAAAGTAAAGATTTCACCCCCATGGAGGACTCTGACAATATGCTTTTTATCCTGTCGGGAATGTGACCTGATATAAATGAAACCTGTCACAAAGTGTTTCCATTCACTTTTCAATACTTTTCAGACTAAGTCAATAATATAGAAGATTTCGATTTGACTGAAAGAGTTAACAAGCTTACCTCAGGCCTTTCAACGATAAAACTCTTTGAAATCTCTCACTGGTTTGGAGAAATCATTTGAATTTCAGCACTATCAGTACGCAACGACTTAATCCGTAGACGTACAAAAGGTTTCTCCCCCTTTTTTGTCTACCGTGAGACAAGTGATTTCCTTTCTTCATTCCGCCAAACGAATTGAATGACATTACAGATCCCCTAGAGCAGCTTTCCATATCCTACAATGGTTAAATCACCTTGAGGAGCTCACCACAAGCCATGAATTAAATCTTCAACCGAAAGTGGGCCCTAACCGACCCTCACCCCTCCCACCGCTTTCCTTGGAGGACTGTAAGGCTACTTACAACTGAGTTGTCATGATTTCTCTCACTATTTACTCACAGTGTGGTCTTGGTCATACATCCTCCAGAATCCATTTTCGTCCTGCCAGTACCATATCCACTCCGTAGCTAGAGGGTTGCTTGAGTTGACGTCAGATTCCGTAGATAGGCGTCGTAGTTGGATGAGCTTTTCAACATATTCCTGTGTAATCAGCAGCTTATTATCGAGGAAAATATCGACATCACACATCTCGTCCAAGAATAAAAATCCATAGCTAAAATATGAATATTAAAATGATAATAATGTCAACCTGTAATTCATGTTTAAAAAAATGCATTATACCATAAAATGTTAATGTTCTGGTTCATTTGTCTTTAGCCCTTGCATTTTGCCATACTCCTTTATCTTTTCTCATACATTAGACTTGGGCTGAAGTATGTCTACCGAACTTTGAACACTTATTATAACTCTAAATGAGTAAAAATCCATGAATTTGACAAGACTCTCAGTGTATAATTACTATAACATACCTTTCAAATGATATTTGCATGCCTGTAGCAGAACATTCCTCAAGTGTCACGTCGCAATACAGTGTTTCTAGCTTCTCGTTGTCTTTCTCATTAAAACTCTTCCATTCATCTGCATCCGCACTATATTGCCAATGGTAAGGCAAAAAGTAGTGATGGCCTGTGCAATTAGAACCATTCGTACATTTGCTAAGAATAAACTCTGCGCAAATGGGTGCATCTGGCTTGTTTACGAGAATATGTCCTGTCAGAATGCCTTGATTCAAAAAGACAAAAATGATTGCTTGTTCAGAAATGATTAAAATTTGTTCCACTGACTATTGAGGCATTATTAATTTTATATATATGATAAGAACTTTTTATTTATATTTATATTCATTCATTTTTATTTTGTTATCTTTGGTCAGACCGGTTTTCCGTCTTAACGGTCACGGAAAATCCACTTTTTCTAAACCCTCGGCCAGGGTAGAAAGTTTTTAACACCCGCCTTAGCTCTCCGTCTTTCATTGGCAGCTTCCCTCCTTTACAACACTTTCATTGTGTTATATCTAAAGCTAACCTTTCCCTTTCCGCTAAAATCATGATTTTCAAGCTTATCGTTTGACAAAGTAATTTAATAAGTAAGGCTTCTTGTACCTCGGGTTTCGAAAACCGCAGCATTAAACTACCTAACTGTGGACCCTGTAGACTACGTTTTTAGCATTATACGTTGGAACCACAGAAAATGTTTCTTTAAACGAAAACTAGAGATGTAGCAAGGCTGAAAGAATTTTACATTACTTACTTGTAGTTTTTTCTTTGGAACATGCGGAATTCTTGCGCTGCTCACAAACAAGAATAATTTTCTTTACCAGGTCTGATTTATGGTGTCCAAGCTGAAAACGTTCAAGAATTGCTTTGGTGTGTTCAATGTTCATGGCTTCTTCATGAAGTAAGTCACAGCCATATCCCCTTCTAAAACACTTTTTCAAATGTTCTCTACACATGTGTATTTTAGAACAAGACTCACCAAGATCACACGAACCGTTGTTGTACTCTACACAGATTTGGGGAGTAGATGAAAGCACTAGCTTCCTGAGTTGCTCATCTGTCAACTTATCAAGCTTAATCGTCGACAACAGAGCTCTTTCTCTTTCATCGTGGAAGTGATGATTCCGCGGGCACGTCGCTCCGTTGTTACAGGAATCGGTTATGTACTCTCTACAGACGTGCAAGTACGAACAGTTCTCTCTATTGCACTCCCCATAATAAGAGTTATTGTAACTGAGACATAAACGTGCTTTTGTAGAGAAAGCGTTCACTTGGGTTATCTTTCCGTGATCATCTTCTGTAATCAGAAAGCTCCCTTTCTTGCTTCGAAACCAAGCTTCTACGTCCTTAAATTCAGACGGGAACAAATTTGTTCGTTTGGAAATCACCGAAAAAGAAGCTGAGCAATCGTACTCGCTGCAAAGGCATTCGAAGACTTTAACCTCAGCAGACTGAGCGGTGGCACTTGCAGCCACGCCCACTTTCGAAGACATGTGCTGATTTTCCTTGCTCCCTTTAGTGGCCACTCCCTTTGTGGTGAGTTTGCCCTTGGGGTCTTCCAAACCACTTGAAATGTTCTCCTGGCATACCAAAAGTGTGCGAAGCACTGAATTAAAGTTTCCTCCTATGACTCTCATGCCATAGTTTTGAAGTACTGCAATGGTGTGAGCTTCGGCAAACGCGCTCTCGTGTCGAAGACCACAGTCTTCCTCATCGCTGCATCTCTTCTTGATAAAATCCTTGCAAATGTGTACTTGGTTGCAAGACAAACCGTTGGTGCAAAGTCCATAATAGTTATAATCCAGACATACTTGAGGCATTGAAAGCTGAAACACATTGCGGAGTTGTTCTTCTGTCAAACCATCCAACCTCAGTTTGGAAATTAACTTTTTATCTTGATCGTACTGAAAACAGTGATTTCTTCGGCATCCAATACCACGCCTACAGAAGCCAGCGATGTACTCCCGGCACACGTGGAATTACTGACAATCCGTCTGAGAACACTTCTCCCGGAAACAAAGCCTTGCCTTTCGACAGAAGGCACTAACCTCGTAAATAATTCCTTCCTTTTCTCTAATTAAAAAGCTTTCTTTTGATCTTGCTCCAAACCACTTGGCAATGTCCCCACAACCGTTAGGAAACAAATCTTGTCGTTTTGAAATGACATCAAAGGGCACCGTGCCATTGTATTCTTTCACAATGCAATCGAAAACAGCCTTTTTGGAGGGCAAACATTTACGCGAGTCTTGAACAGAGCTGCAAGAACTGGAAACAGACAACTTTCGTTGACGCCCAGATTCCGCCTCTTGTGAGGCTGGTAGCCTGTGCCAATCAGTGCAACTGAAAGTAGATTCAACAACGAAATCGCGGCTTGACAACCAGGCCTCCACAAACCGCTCTTTATTGGCACTTTCCGAGGCTCTGTTGGATTCATGTTGGCGTTGACTGTCTTTAGTGCCACGTGATACCTCCAAACTTTTCGGTTGTTGTGTACTTAACACCTTCATACAGGCAGCATTTTTTCCCACCTCTTGAGTCTTTGCCTTGGTTTGTTGCTCTTTATTCACAGAATTTATGCTTTTCTTCTTTTGCGATTGGCCAATATTTGGATCCTTTCTGGAACTGTCAATGAAAGATCCTTGTTCCCATTTCATCGAATCATTTCCATCCAATTCGATTTTCATTTTGTTTATAGGATTCTGTTTCAAACCACCAACTTTCATGGCATCAACCGAATTTTTCTTATCATCTTTACATCCAAAGGCTTTGGTGTTTCTATTTGAAAGCTTGTTGTCGTCAAAGGACGAATTAGAATCGTCTCCAGTTTTAATATTTGAAAACTGAAGCCTAATCTCAGAAGAAGGTGATACTACATTACTCGTTAAATTGTTAATACGATCACTTTGCTTACAGATTGGTGTTCCCGACTTGGTTGTCTTCTCTTGAAAAAGATTTGACGGGCAATTCTTCGTCTCAAATTCATTTCCATCTTGAATACTGCATGCAGCATCGAATTCTTTAGAATTATTGTACGAGCTTTGTTTCGTATTTTGAGATTTTGTAGTTTCGAATCTGGATGGTGCGGACACTTTCGGCGATTGTTTTTTTGTAACTTGTATGACTCCCTTCGCTTCCTTAGAGGAATTTTTACCTGTGTTGCAAACACTTGGTAAAAAATCACGAGCTTTGTGAAGAACACACTGTTCCTTTGGAACCAAGATATTGCACCGAACAAAATCTGTTGACATCGACTGATGAGGCAACAAATCATACTGTTTGAGAATCTTCATGTTGTGAGAATCCACGAGGTTGTGTGACAAAGAACAAGAACACGCTGAACTTCGGACAGCTTGAGAACAAAGATGAAGGTATAAGCATGAATCCGACGTACATTTGCCTCTTGTGTACAGCTCACAAACCTGTGGCAGGCTCCACGCAACAATATGTTTTAAAGTCCCGTTCGGATATTTAGCCAGCCCCAATTCTTTTGTTTTCTCTTTGTTTTCTGGGTCAAAAAAGTTGTGCGAGCGGTTGCATTTGCCATCGCAATTTTCTTCGACGAATCCTTTACAAATATGCCAGAAGTTACACTTCCCCTGAGCACTTCCACAAGAACCTTTGTCGTGATATTGCCGACATATTTTTCTTCTTAAATCAATTCGCACACCTGCTATCTCGCCACTGAAATCTTTCACGACGACTAAACGCCTATCAGGTTGACTCATTAGCCAGTTTTTCGCTGTTGCTTTTGATTTCCTACTTCCCAAGGGCGAGGAATGTTTTAAAAGAACATATAATTCAACAAAACCGCCACTACCGCAGATATAATTGAACACTTTCTCTGCCAAAACATCATCCGCCATCTTGTTTACAACGAAAATTTCGAAGAAAGTGGAAATGTTTGAATATTTTTCCGACAAAAAATAGCGGCAATCTGTCCCGAGGGGATTTTGTTGAAAGAAACTTGTAGGAGACTGTTATGAACAACGAAAAATTGAGCCTGTTCCTTTCCTTACATTCGTAGAATATGCATGGCGTGTCTTCGAATGCAAAGTTTGTTTTGTCTACACTCATCATCCACGTGGCTGCTCTTATCAACATCAGCTGATCGTGACAACCGTTCTTTTATTCGTGTTGTTGTTTTTTTATTTTTTCATGAATAATGGTATTTAAAACAATGACCAAAAATATCAGACCGGACTAAAACTAACCTAATAACTGCACTAGCGCGTGGCTTTTCCGTTTCTATTAATTCTCAATTCTCCAGTGGTGTGACCTTCAAATGGACCCTACATGTACTCTTTCATTCTATCATAGTGTATATTAGCCATTCAAAATTGTTTGAAAAGGAAATCAGCTGATGACTTTGAGTGTAAATATAGGAATATATTATTCGTAAAAAAACGGGTTAATGTTTTAAAAAGACTGAAAATTTTGGTCCGAGGGGTGATTTGTAATAATCTATTTAAAATTGCACGAACAAAAGTCATGTTATTGTTTGCTTTCCAGTGACTTTCAATACAACTGCAAGATACCTTGTCATCAAGATCTCCGAGAAATGCAATTTTAGGGTAACAAAGGCGAAAAACATAAAACTCAATGCAATGAAAAATAAAAAATTCGGAGCAAAAAAAACCCTACATGATATTTGAATTTGCATTGAATTTCTCTTTTTGTTTAAAGTTAATGAGGGCGCCAAATTCCATTTCATATAAAAAAGATCATGATGTTGTTTCTTATTTTCTGCTTGGTTAACATCGGCTAAATACCGTAGAAACCGCGTGTAAGAACCTTCATTTTTTGAACTCTGGCAAAAATGGTTCTTGTACTTTGGGGTAGTCATTGGCAACTTACGCTCATTAGGTTCTTAACTAGGTTCTTAATTCAATGTAGGAGATATTATATTTATTTAATAGTTGTTGACTACTAGAAACATAAATATTAAAGTTGGCTTTGGACCTTAGATATGTAGTGATTTATTCACAGCTGCGTTCTAACAAAACTGGCACAGAATGCATTAGTGTTGTTTCCATAACGAGTATATAAAAAAAATACTACAAAATAACTAAATAAATAGTTGAAACTAAAGTATTTTCTTGTAATATAAATTGCAATCTCAAAGTCTGAAAAACCAGATGGGGGCACTAAGCAAAAATAATGCCAAGATAGGGGGGCTCAAATTAAAATTACTCTTATTACAGGGGGGCCCAAACTTTCATTTTATGTCATGCACCTTTGTATTAAATTGTAAGAACAATTCTACATGCATTGTAAAACAGGAAAATGATCTTAGAAAATGTGAAGTTTATGTAAAAAAAATGTCATCACATTTTAGACATGTTACCAGAGGTTGCTTTCAAAAGAATTGATTTGTGCCATGAAATATCTATAGTCTTAGTATCCATTACAAGGCCAAATTCAAGTAAAAACATAACTTGTCCCAAACAAACCATTTTGTACTTAGATGCTGTCCTATAAGACAGTCGTAAGTTCACCCTCAGGTGCAGAAGTCCCAGACAATCTCCTGGCCTCCCTGGGCGAAGCAGTTTCCCCTGCAAAGGTCGCGCGCAAGCATGCTTTGTGTGTCTTTAAGGTAAACAAATAAATGTAGGGTTTCACAATCAACTGTCCAGCGGAGAATACCAAATATGTCCGGCTCAAAGTCCTCTGCAGGGGGAGACTCCTCCCAGCGAACGGAAATAAGGCATTCTCTTTTTCTTCTGTTTTCACAAGCTGTGAGCTTCCTCTTTTCCTCTTTTCACCTTCTCTGCTCTTTCCTTTTTCTTGCTTCAGATGTTGTGGACTTGGTGCCAAGTTGGTATGACGCCTTATATTTAGCCATCACTCTGTCCAAGTCCTAGAACAAGATGTAACACATCCTTTTCATCGCCAGACTTGATATAATGTCGTTTCTCATAGTTGAAATTGTGAAGGCAATTTAGGCCAGTCTTAACCCTTACCAAATCCAACACTGTTTTGAATGTATTTGAAAGCTATTTTTGAAAACTGTTTTTAACCTGTTTTGTGAAATAGGTTTTAAATAGAGTGAAAAGTGTATCTTTCGACTGATTTTAAAGGTGTTTTAACCTGTTTAAAACGCTATTAAAAAAGAATTTTTAAAGTATTTTAAAATTCGTTTAAAATATATAAAAAATTCCAGGGCAAGGCTCAAAACAGGTCTAAAACAGTTTTCAAATACCTCATAAATCGCCGTAATAAAAACAGGATAAAGGCAGTTTCAAAAACATATTTTTATTTGCTACACTATTTTAAAACTATTTTTAATGGAAATTTTAAACGTATTTTGAAAAAAAACAGGTTTAAAATAGGTACAAAAACATATTTTTAATATATTTTTCGACTGATTGTAAAGGTGTTTTAACCTGTTTAAAACGCTATACTTAAAATATTGCGCTTCAAAATATATTTTAATAGCTGTTTAATCAGTTTCGAAATTTAGTAAAATAATCGTATTTGCAAAAACAATAAAAATACTTTGAAAATAGCATTAAAATACTACAGAAGAAGAAAAGCAATAGCACGCATATATTACGAAAATACATCAAAAATAGGATGCAAAAATGCAAATTAAAACAGTATAAAATTGTAAGAAAATAGCCTTAGAGTTGTCTAAAAACAGTACAAAAATCGGTCGAAAGAGCATAAAAACAGTACAAAAACCAGATGGAAATACTATTTAATAAATTCATGAAATAAAATGAATACAAAACCGTCGAAAATTACCCTGGAAAAGCAAGATTTACCTCAGCGAAATTTCTCTACGCAGTCCTAGGCTAGGATTTCACGAGAATTATCTTTTAGCCGATTACTTTACGTTGATTTCCCTAAGAATTCTTAGGAAATTCTTGTGGAATTTTTCAAAAATGCTGAAATCAATCTTTTCCTGTGTACAGACTCCCTCCCTTCAATAAAAATCGGAAGGGAGGGGGGGTCTGTACACAGGCTATCAATCTTCGACTTCAAAAACGTATAGCGTTACTGACGTTGACGGTAAAAAATAATTTATATATGGGAGAGTACTGCAATATTCCTATTTTTCTGTCATTTCTCGGTTCCCTCTTAAAACAGTGCATCCTTTTCGGAATTGTCTTGCAGTTCTCACTCCCCCCACCCTATACAAAGTTGAAAGGAAAAAAATCTGAATGAACACGCGTGCAACATTGTTTGTGGGGTGAGGGGAGGGGTTGGAACTTGCCCCAGAAACGCAAAAGTGTCCCAAGACTTTTGTCCATGATTGTAGGTCTGGTATAGGCTAAAGGTGTCAGGGTCCCAGCGGCACATCCCCACCCAAAAAGTCCTAAAGTACCCCCCCCCCCCCTGCCCTTAGTGGATTTAGGCTAAGTTCACACAGCACCATGCAGAAGAATTTTTAACGGAAATACCATATAATCTGTGTTTCGATGTTAAGTTTTGCGATTCTGTTTTTAGTCCTCTTTTGTGTTTTGACGTTTTGTGATTCTGTTATGAGTTTTTCTGATTCTGTTTTCTGTTTTCTCGTTTTTTGTGTCTTGTTTTGTCCATATCAGCCACCGTATCGGAGGCATTTACTATCAGTTATAATATAACGGCCCAAACATTTTACTGGTGCCTTTTTCAATCTCGGGCAGTCAGATATAGTATGAAGTGGTGGTTAACTCAAGATTGTAGTTTAAGAATTTTGTTTTATATAGGTAATTTTTTTTCTTCCTCTGATTCCCTGCTTAATTGTAATTCCTATTTGTCATAACTGCTTAGTTTAGGTGTGACTAGTACTCATATGTGATATAGTGTCATTGTTATCTTAGTGATTAGTAGGAATTGTTGTAATGAACAATATTTATCAATTTTTTTATTCATTTATTTAATTTTGTATTGTCAGTGTTTTTGTTAGCTATTTTATTTTATTATCCAAGTATATTTTGCGTGGTTAATAAATTACAATTTTTTTTTAACTCTGGCCGAAGGAAAAAAAAGGTTCTTGTATTTTGGGGTAGTTATTGGCAACTCAGGCTCAGTAGGTTTTTAGTTTCAATGAAGGAGATGTAGTTGTAGCTCACCGAATAAATAAATCTCGTTTTATTCATTTATTTATTCACAGCTGTATTCTAACGAAACTGATTGCAGAATGTACATTTGTATATTTAGTATAGGAAAAAATTACTGTAAAATAAATAAATAATTAGTTGATAAAAAAGCACTTTCTTTGTAATATAAATTTGCAATTTCAAGGTCAAAATAAACTCCTTGGTTGAAATACCTATCATAATATTTTAATACTGGAACCCACATATAAGAACTTGTTTGATCTTACTTGGCTAAACTGGCTCTTATATTTTTGGGTATACCCAAAATGGCAAATTCTGCAAGCAGTTTCTTACACCAATAGGTTCTCGCAGCACGGATTTTTGCTGTAATACAATGGCACCTCCTCAATACAGACAGCAATGGGATAGACACGGTCTAGTCCCTGAGTGTTCCCTTGGTGTTCCGAGACTTCGCGCGGATAACGGAACAAGAGAGAGCGCTTAGGGACTAGGCTGCGACAGCAATTCAGAGCTGGCAGAATTAAGACCAAATAGTGTCTGTACGGGAGATCTTCTATTGAATATAAAGGTCGTCTTCATCATTGTTCAAGTCATGTCATGGTGCAAGAACTTTTCTCGAAGGTCACTGGTACACGGAGAGAGTAAACTTCGACAGATGGTAAGATAAGTAAACTCAAGAGCCATAACAGAACAGAGAGGGAGTCTCCCAATCACGATATCATAATTTCAAACAAGTTATTTTTAGAACTATGCAGACCATGCGGAAACAGTTTCCGGTAAACTGGTGGACTTCCGGAAGACTCGCTTTCACGATTCAG